CCTGTGTATGTGTATGTAAGGAGGTAGGTAGGTACCGTGGATGTAAAGAATTAACGCGCAACCCATCCGTAACATTGAATTCCGCCATTCAAAGATCTGGAACGCAAGCTAGCTAGGCATGAACGGCCCCGGGTTGAAAAAAATGCTTCCGTGTTTCGCGTTTATTGTTTACATTTTCGCGGGCAGCTGCCGATCTTGCCCTACCTGGAACTCGCGGCCTTTGAATGGCGAAATCCAATGTTATGAATAATTTTCGCGTTTATTGTTTACATCCACGGCCTTCCAGCAACGCTACTTTAGTATCCCTTATGCGCTACTTACGTGATATTGAATAAACGAATCGTAGCCAGCGTGGCCCCCGAACGCCGATGTCTTGCAATCCACGCGGTGCAATCCAGGCGGTGCGACGCATGCTATGCAACCTAGGTAGCGCAAGCCACGCGGTGCAGTTCATGCAATGCACAGCAACGCCAAGCAACGCTAAGCAATGCAAAGCAACGCAAAGCAAAGCACAAAATGGCCTAGAGTTGGCTCCGCGCACCCAACATATGGCCTGGGACTGGTGTTCTGGGAACACGAAGAGCACAAAGTGGCCTACAGTTGGCTCCGGGCACTCACGATGTGGCATGGAAATGGTGTTCTGGCAAGATGCATCGTGATTCCGGGCAAGAGTTTCACACTTTCCAACGTTATGATTTGTTGCGTCCTAGCCTGGCTAGGACGAAACGAACATGAAAGCCACTAAGTGCGATAGGGTTACAACTTTCCAACGTTACGAATGCCTTTTTGGAGCTCTGGTGCAAGATTTCCTCACAAAGCGACGCCGTTCGTAACGTTGAAGCTTCTTGAATAAAGAATAATTGAATATTCTTATTTAAGCGTTTTGAGCGTTACGAAGAGCGTCGTATTTCATCTTTTTGAACGTTACGAACGGCGTCGTTTCTGTGAGGAAGTCTTGCGCCAGAGTTCCAAAAAGGCATTCGTAACGTTGGAAAGTTGCAACCCTATCGCACATCGTCGCTTTCATGTTCGTTTCGTCCTAGCCAGGCTAAGACACAACAAATCATAACGTTGGAAAGTGTGAAATTCTTGCCCGGAATCACGATGCATCTTGCCAGAACACCACTCCCAGGCCACATCTTGAGTGCCCGGAGCCAACTGTAGGCCACTTTGTACTCTTCGCGTTCCCAGAACACCAGTCCCAGGCCACATCTTGGGTGCCCGGAGCCAACTCTAAGCCATTTTGTGCTTTGCTTTGCGTTGCTTTGCATTGCTGAAGCCCCTGATGAGACCTGCGACACCTGTCGGTCCTGTGGGACCTGCGAGACCTGCGAAACTTGTGGGACCTGTGAGACCTACGACACCCGAGGAGCTTGCAACACTTGTGGGATCTGGGGGACCCCTGTGGCCTGTGGGACCCGTGGGACCTGCAAGACCTGTGGGACCGGTGGGACCCGCAACACATGTGGGACCTGCGGAACCAGTGGGACTTGTCGGACCTGCGACACCCGTGGGACCTGGGGGTCGTCTGTGGTCCGTGGAACCCTGTGGGACGCCTGGGAGCCAGCCGAAGCAACGCGTGAATGCGGCAGGCATTTGAGGGTGGCAAAAGCGAAGTGTGTCGGGAAATGTGCGAGCTTAGCGTCGTCTTGGGGCCCGTAACAGCGTAGTCTTGGGGCCCGTAACAAAATGGCAGCCGTGGATGTAAAGAATTAGCGCGAAACCCATCCGTAACATTGAATTCCGCCATTCAAAGATATGGAACGCAAGCTAGGCATGAACGGCCCCGGGTTGAAAAAAATGCTTCCGTGTTTCGCGTTTATTGTTTACATTTTCGCGGGCAGCTGCCGATCTTGCCCTACCTGGAACTCGCGGCCTTTGAATGGCGAAATCCAATGTTATGAATAATTTTCGCGTTTATTGTTTACATCCGCGGTAGTCAGGTAGGTACGTATGCATGCATGCATGCATGCATGTATGTGTATACATATATGTATGCATGTATGCATTCATGTATGTTTGTATGCATGCGTATATATATATATATATATATATATATATATGTATTTTTAGATGTATGCATGTATGCGTGTATGCATGCATGTGTGTATATGTATGTGTGTAAATGAATGTCTGTCTGTCTGTCTGTCTGTCTGCCTGCCTGCCTGTCTGTATGTATGTATGTATGTATGTCTATATATATATATATGTATGTATGTATGTATGTATGTATGCATGTATATATATATATATATGTATGTATCGCAGATGAGGGGATGAGCTCGCAGTGAAACGGAGAGCCCACCACCAGGACATCGGTTTCGTGTTCGCGTCGTGCGTGCGGGCGAGGCGAAGCTGCGTCGGCGGGCCAGAGGAATGCACCCGCCCTGGCTAGGGTAAAGCCGGGCTCAATGTCTCTTCTCCCCCAGTTGGCCGGCGGTGGCCCGGGGGTGTCCCGCTGGCGTCCCGTGGTGTCCCGTGGTGTCCCGTGGCGCGGTGTCCCGCGGTGTCTTGTGGTGGCTTGTGGAAGTCGATCGGGAGATCGATAGGGAGATCGACAGTTACATCGATTGGGAGATCGATCGAGTGAGATCGGTAGTGAGATCGACAGTGAGATCGATAGTGAGATCAAAAGTGAGATCGAAGGTGAGGTCGATTGATAGTGAGATCGATCGTGAGATCGACTGCGAAATTGACGGTGAGGTCGTCACCGTCACAACCGTCGCAGTTGCCACCATCTCCCCCCCCCCAGCAACCTTCTAGTCACCCGAAGGGTGGTTGTCTAGGTATTTTTCATATCTTGGGATTGTTTTGAGCCCCTTGAGTTGTGGAGGACGATCAAAGGAGAGGAAGCATGTTGCCAAATAGTGTCCAGATGTCTAAACAATGTTTAAGCATGTTTCCAACATGTAAACACATGTTTTGAACATCATTTTAAACACATTCTCAATTCAATGATAGGATTGTTAGGGTGTCCATTGTCATGGCATCCGCAACCCTTGAGCTGGTCCCCCCTCTATCGTTTCCCCTCCGCTCGGAGCTTGAGGGCAACGCACCGCGAGATGAGGTGCTGCTGGCAGCATGCAACTTGGTGGCAGGCCCCCCTGGTCCAGCCACGAATGCTCGTGTGGCCTCCTCGCAACGACTATCCCGTGATCGTAGAGGGTCGTGCTTATCAGCTCCACTTTCCGTAGCCGTTTTGGCTCAATCAATTTTCGTGCACAGCTCAGAGCGATCAGAAAAGGCTGCAGGCATGCTTCGCCACGATTCCGAGCGTTCTGATGCGAGCGCTGTTGTCAAGATTCAGTACTGCGATCACTGACATTTCGACAAGCCCGCGAGATGGCATGCCGAGCTGATTCGGAGCTGGTTCCCTGATGTCGACATCTGGGAGGTTGCTGACCACGATATCGCACATAATCTTGGCATTTTCGACATCACGGTCAACGGCGTGCTTGTGCACTCGAGAAGGTGCGACACGCGGACGTACGGCGTGCCCGGCCACCTCTGGCTGCGCGACGAGCCTCGTCGGCAGCAGGCGGTGTGGTACGCCATCGACAGCGCACGAGCAACTAAGGACGCCCAGAGGCCCCAGGGGTGCATGGCGTGCCATCCTCACGTGGTCGTCCGAAGCTCCAGCTATGGTGCAGAGTATGCGGCCCGCGCTGCAGAGCTAATCGAGTCGTGGTTCCAGCATCACGGGCTTGGGGTTGAGGCTGTCGTCGACGACGGCAGCGAGTGGAATTTCGAGATCCTGGTGGACGGAGTTCTGCTGCATTCCAGAAGCACCCAGCGGCATGGGTTCTTCCATGACGAGTGGTGCCAGCAGAGCCTCCTGTGGAGAGCCATTTCGGACCACCTGCCCGATGTCACACCGTCGACGGTGATGGGCGCGTAGACGCACACGTGGGTGCTGTCTCCCCGTCTCTCCTCGGCTGCTTGTTTCGGAAGCTGGGCGAGGGCTGATAAAACCGTGGCTGCTTAAACGGCCCTCCCGGAAGGAAAAAACAACTTCCCGGAATGAGGCGCGGCACGCGAAACAGTCAACGGGCGTCTTCCCGGAAGGACGAAGACAATCTCCCAGAGGTCGATCTTAGCAGCCACGGATCTAGCAGCCCTCGCCCGGCTTCCGATTGTTGCTTCGGCTCATTTTCCTGGCCAGCCCCCTCGGCTTCTGCTCGGGCTGCCGCTCGCTTGCCCCTCGCGCTCGGCAGCGCGCTGCGCTCTTGCCCGGCCTGCCGGCAGGCGCTCTTCGTGACGCGCTCCTCGTGCCGCCCGCCGCGGCGTAGGGGGGCGGCGAGCGGTGCGCAGCAGCGCCGAGAGGGCCCCGCCCCGGCCCTGGCAGCCCGCGAGGCCATGCCTGGCGCAGCGGGTATTCACTCGCGCGGCCGCGCGCGTCCGCCAGCCCGCAGGGACGAGAGGAGGAGGAGGGAGGAGGGAGGAGGAGGGGAGGAGGGAGGAGGAGGAGGGAGGAGGAGGGAGGAGGGAGGAGGAGGAGGGAGGGAGGAGGGGAGGAGGGAGGAGGGAGGAGGGAGGAGGGAGGAGGGAGGATGGGAGGGAGGAGGGAGGAGGGAGGAGGAGGAGGAGGAGGGAGGAGGGAGGAGGGAGGAGGGAGGAGGGGAGGAGGGAGGAGGAGGAGGAGGAGGAGGAGAGGAGGGAGGAGGAGGAGAGGAGGAGGAGGAGGAGGAGGAGGAGGAGGAGGGAGGAGGGAGGAGGAGGAGGGGAGGAGGGAGGAGGGAGGAGGGAGGAGGGGGAGGAGGAGGAGGAGGAGGGAGGAGGAGGAGGGAGGAGGAGGAGGAGGAGGAGGAGGAGGAGGAGGAGGAGGAGGAGGAGGAGGAGGAGGAGGAGGAGGAGGAGGAGGAGGAGGAGGAGGGGAAGGGGGAGGGAGGAGGAGGAGGAGGAGGAGGAGGAGGAGGAGGGAGGAGGAGGAGGAGGAGGAGGGCCAGGGATTGGGCCGGCTACGCGTGAGTGCGACCTTTCGCCGTAGCGACGTTCCTGGGCGCGGGCCCACAGGGGTCCCCCCAGCACGGGCCTGCGCGCTTGGGGTTTGGCCTCCCCTCGGCACGCTCAGGCCGCGCACGGAAGGTCACTCTTGCCTAGGGTCACTCTTGCGTGTAATCAGCCGATTGGGGGGCGCTGCGGAGGGTCCCGCCAGAGAGTCCATCAGTGGCCTGCTTTTGCACGGGCTTTCCAGCGGCCCTGCCCTGGGCCCCGACCGCGCCGCTTGCGATCGCCAGCGCCGCGGCAGACACGTTGTGGTTCGGCGCGGGCGGCCTACGAGGCAGGGTCTTGGAGCAGCAGGCGGGCACATGTTGGACTCGGCGTGAGGCGTTCGAGAAAGGTCTTCGCCTTCGAGGATCGAGGGGGTTGCCATTTCTTCCTCGGCGGAAGGCGACGGAAAGCCGGCGAAGGCGGCTGAGGTAAAACGAAACGGCCTCCGCCAGCGGAAGCTGGCGGAAGCCGTGCGCGTGACCGTGGGGCCGAGGTTTTTCCTGTACCGCCGCGCCGTGCCCTTGTCGGGCCCCGCTCTCGAGATGAGTAGCTCTATCGGGCGCCGCAAGCCGGTAGATTTTTCATCGGCCCCACACGACGCGTCCCCGCGAAGGAGATCGGGCGCAGTGACTTGAACCAAACAGGAAGTACACAGCGGCCTCCCAGGCGATGGCAAGGTTGTCTGGTTCAGCGTTTCCAGAGCCCGCCACATGTTGGACTCGACGTGTCGAGGGGTCCGTGGGGTCCCTGGAAGCGACACAGGACAAGCAAGGGCCCAGACACAGCACCAGCCTCCGCACTGAGCGGCGGCGGCGGGCATCTCCGCCTCGCCGCCTGCGCGGCTGTAAAGGATTGTCGTGGGGCGGCGCAACCCAGGATGGTGACAGAGAACGTCTGTCATCATGGTCCTCACCCTCTTTCATACCATAGTTCCCGACCTCCATTTCTTCATCATGACCGTCATCATCATCATCACCACCACCATCACCATCACCATCACCATCACCATCACCAACACCATCATCAGCAGCATCATCATCATCATCATCATCATCATCATCATCATCATCATCATCATCATCATCGTGGCCATCATCACCACTATCTCCGTTATCACTAGTATCATCATCATGAACACCAGCATTGTTATCATCATCGTCATCATGAACATCGTCGTCATCATCATACTCAATTTGAACATGATCAGTATCATCATCATGATCATCATCATCACCATCATCGGCATTAGCATTACCATTACCACTACCATCATAATGATTATCATCATCATCATCATCATCATCATCATCATCATCATCATCATCATCGTCATCGCAGTCATCATCACCATCCACCGACATCACCATCATCATCATCACCTCATCATCACCACCATCATCATCATCACCACCCGCATACTTCCCCTCTGTTTCGCGCCCACCATCATCATCATCGTCATCATCAGCATCATCACCATCATCACCAGCAGCATCATGATCATCATTAGCATCATCAGCATCATCATCATCATCATCATCATCATCATCATCATCATCATCATCACCATCACCACCCTGCTCCGTTCTCTCCACCCCTGCTCTGCGGTCCCTCTCTCAATCTTCGTTTCCTCGTTTTGGTCGCCTCGTTCTCTCGCGCTCTCTCTCCGAGCCCCCGCTCCGGTCTCCTCCGCCCTGGCTCCGCGGCCCGCCCCCCCCCTCCCCAGCGTCGTTGTCCCGCTTCCTCCGCCCCCGGCTCTCCATCTCCTCCACCCCTCTCTCTCTCGCACTCTCCACCTCGGCTCCCACCCAAGCCTCGTCTTCTGGATCTCACCGCCCGTGCTGCGGGTTCTCCACCCCTGGCCCGCCGGTGCCGTTCTTCGGCTTCTCTGCCCCTCCGGTTTCTCTGCCCATCGGTCGTTGAAAGTAGGAGGTATTTGTGGATTCCCAGATTCCAATCTACTTTCAGCTCCTTCCTACTTCAAGAGTCGAGTGGTTCTCCCTCTTTGGATCTTCCGCAATCCACTCACCCTTTCTTGCATCATGGGGAAAGGGATTTCCATTCGTCACGGGCGATGCGTTGCTTACGTATCCAATCCACGTGAAGCTGCTGACATCATGCACTTCTTGTGTGGTGGCGAGGCTGAGCACAACCTCCAGCAGCACATCAGCGAGTTCAGTTGCCTCATGAAGGAGGCCGCTACCCCTCTAGGTCTCTCCAAGAAGGCATCTTCAGAGGGTATTCGCAAAGGCTTGGTCTTGAGGGGAGAGGATGAACTCTCAAATGACTTCGTTCTTTGGAGGGATGAGCGCCGTGCAGCTGCCCATCCACCAGGACAGCTACGGGCACAAGTCCTGGACGCCCTGGCCAAGCCCGTAATCCAGCCTCCTGATGGTGTTCCTGGCAAGCCTCCTCGCCATCGCTGTGAGGAGCCAGCCGCAATGGTCAAAGAGCCGAAGGCCACACCCGAGCCGAAGGTGCAAGACTCCCTGGAGGAGAAGCGCGTGACGG